AAGTAGTTGATGAAAAACAGATATTTACCTGGTGTCCTTGATTTGTGAACCTTGATTACGTTCTAATGTCGTTGTTTTTTAATACCATATTTCAAGAAAGTGCAGAAACTTTAATCAAATAATACGTTATGTACATATTTTCCCATTAGCTTTTATAGTGGGTGCGAATTATAATATTGTCTCAGTATACTCAGCTAATGAAGTTTCTATAAAAACGCATCAAAGATTACTAGTTCCCGAACATCGCTTTTACGTCACCGAAGTACTCGTCTATTCTACATCACGTGACATATCATGCTTTAATTTTCTTACAATAAAGACGTTATTCTAGATAATTATACAATGTTTTTATACAATCGTAAAGCTAGTAGTACTAAATTCTTACGCCCCCCCCCCAGTGGCATAGCGGTATGTCTGCGGAGATACCGCTAGAATCCGGGTTTCGATACCCATGGTGGGCAGAGCACAGATAGCCCATTGTATAGCTTTGTGCATAATTACAAACAAACAAACAAACTAAATTCTTAATCAAAACTTAACAGAAAACAAACAATTCTTAAGCTAAAGTAACAGCAACAAACTATATAAACTCGTACAATGCAAAAAATATAGTGTTAGGCCTAAGTGGATAAAAAGTGAGTTAGTTCAAAATACATATTAATTCCTTCATTATATGTATATGATACTGAAAATTGGTAAACATTGTTTACCATTGTTTGTTTTATATAGTATATTTATACCATGAGCTTTTCACTGACTGAAATGTGTTTTCCCTTTCCTATCAAATCGCAAGAACAGTAAGTCATTAAGTAGCTGTCGGTAAGGGAACTATTATCAAGAAGTACTTTTCAAGTAGTTATATAGTAGTTCTTATCTTTAAAAAGTTTTAATTAATATAATACAGTAGTTGACCCATATGAAGAATATTATTTTTTTAAGATCAACCGATTCGGCAAGATTGTAAATTATTGAAAAACATTTAGAATACATTATTTTTAGCGATTTTATTCTCATATGTATTAAACCAATTGATGGCTTATCGATAAGCTTGAGAGCTTATAACCTTAAAATTCTGGGTTTCACCCCTGTGATTGGCACAGAAAACATAGACTAATGTACAGCTTTGCGTTTAAACAAAACAAAATAACAATAAGTATTAAATAAAAAAAAGGTACTCAATGGTTTTTCTATTTGT